TTGAAGAAGAACACAATTGGACATAGATGTTGAAGACGAACAAAATCTTTATGAAATAAGCCATTCTTGATGGGGAAGATAAACAATTGGACATAGATGTTGAAGAAGAACACAAGTGGACATAGATGTTGAAGAAGAACAAAATCTTTTATCAAGAATGGCTTATTTCATGAGGAAGATAAACAATTGGGCATAGATGTTTAAGAAGAACAAAATCTTTATGAAATAAGCCATTCTTGATGGGGAATATAAACAATTGGACATAGATGTTGAAGACGAACAAAATCTTTATGAAATAAGCCATTCTTGATGAGGAAGATAAACAATTTGACATAGATGTTGAAGAAGAACACAATCTTTATGAAATCCTCAGTGAGATACATCAGAAACTCTTGATGGTTCTTCTATGTCAATGTCTTCATCAGCTATTACAGTCTAATGTTTGCAGATTGATGAAAACAGTGGTCAGAAAGTGGATAACTTCATTCCACAAAAGTAATTCTGTCTGGCTGAACCAAATGAGTATTTAACAACTTGGTTTGACCCTTCATAATTTCTAGCTGCACATCATGTGTCAGTATAAATGATACTTTGTGTGAAAGTAAGCCTTCCCTTATCTGTTGGTGTACTATAAAATAAATATAGCAATAAGAGAAAAGTATTTTCGAAGGTAAAATCAGAAATCTCCTGAGAGTTTTTTTACTTGCCGTATATCTGGATATCAACTTGAAGACCAAGCAATGATTTAAAATTGCCAGTTTTGTAACATACTAAAAAGTTAAGAATGCAGAGGTAAGACTAAACAAAAAGTTTGATAAGTTATTTAAAACTAATTCATGGTATAAAACTTCTTAACCTGATAAAAATATTTTAAATTTGTCTTCTCACTACTTCAAAGATTTTTTTTTAATACAGACACTAACACAGACTTAATGTCTGATGTTGTTAAATCAACCAAAGATAACAATAAAATTTTTAACTTCATACAAGGTTAATCTTGAAGGTCAATGCATTTTTTGTCATTAAAAGTACCTTAAGTGCTATTAGCAATAGCTTCAAATAAAACTATTCAACAAGACAAAATACAGTGGGTCTTTCGTGTTCCATGACAATCATGGGAACATTTTATGAATTTAAAAAAATAAAGCCTCAAAACTCAAACAATTTTGAAGAGTTGACTATTCTTCTTCAGAAGACTAAATGATGATGATGATGATGATTAGTGAATGCTATGTAATATATAGGTACAGATGTCAACATCATGTAAGCTGAACAAGAATTACAAATCACAACCTAAACATCAGAAATGCTATCAGTGGAGGGAAACCACATACATGTAAATATATTAGCTACTTTTTTGAGTATGATCAGCAGTTTTGGTAAGGAAGATGTTAATAATCAATAATACAATGAGTATGAAAAGTAGCTCAAAGTTCAATAATTTTTCTATCACCATTTGCAAGTAATACAAAAGGTTTTAGTACATTGTGTTAAAACAATTTTGAATATGAAAATCAGGAAATCACATCTACTATTAAGTTACCTTTTGACATATTGCAAGTAGTGTGATGCTACCAAAAACTGGCCGTTTTTAGGAATGGTATTAACAGCCCTTTCCAACACAAAATATTCATACTCTCAGATCATTTAAACGTGTTTAAACTGGAGATTTAGAATTTCCAAGAAGGAATATTCCTTGAACTTATTGGCAGTGGAAAACAAAGGAATACCGATCAACTTGGGGCACCAGGACTATCCAGAAAGAGACCAGTAAACAGTCCTACTTTAGTCATGATAAGCAAAGTGCTGCATCTTGTACTACGTGAGAATCCAAGAACACAAAGGTCAGTGGTAAAAGCTGTCCATATGCCCCAGACAACAGCACAAAAATAATTAAGAGCCTTCATCTGGGAAAACAATACAAGTCACATGTACTTATGTTACTTTCACAATATATTTTTTTCAACTTTTGCATACCTGAAGCAGCTGGAGAATACTATTCCATATGAAGACATACCAGTCAAGTCACCGTATGCAGCATCTATAAATTTCTGTGCAATCAGACTATTGATATGGTACTGGGAAACCAGTGTTATTATATACAAGATAGTTTATGGAAAGCATGATGGGATGAGGGATGTGCTTTAGACATAATGGAGACATTTAAATAGAAACTATGCTGTAAGGCTATTGTTAATATTCATGGTTGCCGAACAGAGAATGGTTGGACATGAAGACTTGGACTGTAACAAGGTGGTGAGGGTCCAAAATCATTTTAATATAACATATTCAACTTTTGTATCCTGGACATCTATAGTTATAGCAATAAAGAAAGTTTATGGATTACTTTTGTTTTTAAATAATTTAAGTAAATAGGCTATGTTACGACTGATTTTGAAAATTAAAATACAACATTGTTCATAAAATAAGCAGCATTAATGACCAGAAACACTAGCCTCGAGCTACTAATGTTGATACACATAATTCTGAGGAATAGAGAACAGAAAAGTTTCAATTTTTGTCTCTACATTCCCTTTCTGCAACTTATATTCTTTATAAGGTTTATAAATTGTACTTTGATCATAAAACTGAAAGTTTTAATGAGTAAAATAAATGCTAACTAAACTTTTTTATGGTTTTATTTCTTTCTAATCACTTTAATTAAACAGTTAAAAGAATTTGATCCTACAATGTTTCATAATACTTTATGTTGAAAGTAAAGTCATTAAAAAAATACAATGATCATTTAAAATCAGTCCATTGAAAAAACAACATTTCACTACAGTGAGAAATGTACAAGTACTGTAAACATCTATAAAGGAAAACAAAGGCATGATATTATGACAAACAACATTATAATAAACATGTTACACAAACTACGTGATCATAATGTCCAAGTTAACATAAGCTTTATCCTCTAGAAATAGTTTTATTTCTGTTTTGATAACATCTTTGGACCAGCAACAAATACATAGAGATTTCCAGTTGACTATTACCATATCAATTAATTGAAAATCTAATGTATATACATACACAGAAGACCAAATTTTCTCAGAAGTATGATGATCAGATCTCCAGACAATAGATAAACTCACCCAAAAATTGTGCCATGGATCTTCAGGGACATCGGGATCATAAATTAAACAATTTCCACCATAATCTCTCTCTGCTAGAGGCTTTCCTAAATCCTTATCAATGTGTTTCAACAATGTGCGTGCATCATCAGGATGCTAGAAAATAAAACTGGCCAATATTAAAAAAATTGTTTTAAAAAGTCCAACACAACTTTTGTACTTAAAGTTGGGAGTATGCAACAAGCACCATACTAAGTGCACCCTGAGGGTGTGCACCTGGGTATTATTACTTATTCACATACTAGCGAGCATGCACATGCACATCTTTTTAATGAGGCAAGCTAGAGAAACACCACATAGAAAAGGAGTGGTTCCTTATATTACAAATATAAATCACAGACAGACACACTCTTTTATTATAGACATATAGCCCATCAAAAATGATGAGGCAAGTACAACTACCCCACGTATAGCCCATCAAAAATGATGAGGCAAGTACTACCACCTGACAGTATAACCTGTAGTATATCTGTTACATTAACAACTTCTAATATATGGAAAATCTGGTGCTTTTTGGTTACAATGCATTCGAACAATGGCTTTTATGTCATGTTGGTTAGCAACAAAAGTATAACCTAATATTGTTCTTAGTCTATGTACTGAAAGTATAAAATCAAATGTATAAACAGTGTGTGTTTTCTTATAACAAAGCCACATCTGGCTATCTGCTGTGTCCATTGAAGAGAATCGAACTCCTGATTTTAGCATTGTAAAATTGAAGAATTACCTCTGTCCCATCGGGGGACATGTATAAACAACAAAACTGGAAAAATGTTTGTTGATTTCTTAATTTAGAGTCTCCATTGATTAAACAGGTTTGTTTTTTATTAAAAACATTAGTGATATAACAGCAAATACCTTAATTCAGAAACGATTTCAGTTTAAAATTAGATCAATATGTTTTCCTTTGTGATAAATTATATGCACTTGGTTCTGGGCTAGGTTATCTCACACTATGTCTTTACTTTAAGCTTATTTATTAATTTCTTTAAATCATACTAACATTCAATACACTTATATAATCTTAAAAAAATTTTTGTTTTAGGCCTGGAGTGAAATTAAATATGACTAACTGTGACTTTAGTAAACCACTTAAGTCAACAATAATTGGATGCTCAGGTTACACTTAAAATAATATTCAACCAACTTTCCAAGGAAGCTATACTTGGAATAATATTCAACCGACTTTCAAAGGAAGCTATACTTAGAATAATATTCCAGCAACTTTAGAAGGAAGCTATACTTAGAATACTATTCCAGCAACCTTAGAAGAAAGCTATACTTGGAATAATATTCAACTGACCTTCAAAGGAAGCTATACTTAGAATAATATTCAACTGGCCTTCAAAGGAAGCTATACTTAGAATAATATTCAACTGATCTTCAAAGGAAGCTATACTTAGAATAATATTCCATCAATCTTAGAAAGAAGATATACTTGGAATAATATTCCATCAACCTTAGAAGGAAGCTATACTTAGAATAATATTCCATCAATCTTAGAAAGAAGATATACTTGGAATAATATTCCATCAATCTTAGAAAGAAGATATACTTGGAATAATATTCTATCACTCTTAGAAAGAAGATATACTTGGAATAATATTCCATCAATATTAGAAAGAAGATATACTTGGAATAATATTCTATCACTCTTAGAAAGAAGATATACTTGGAATAATATTCTATCACTCTTAGAAAGAAGATATACTTGGAATAATATTCTATCACTCTTAGAAAGAAGATATACTTGGAATAATATTCTATCAATCTTAGAAAGAAGATATACTTAGAATAATATTCTATCAATCTTAGAAAGAAGATATACTCGGAATAATATTCTATCACTCTTAGAAAGAAGATATACTTGGAATAATATTCCATGCAACCTTAGAAGGAAGCTATACTTGGAATAACATTCAACTAACCTTCAAAGGAAGCTATACTTAGAATAATATTCTACCGACCTTCAAAGGAAGCTATACTTAGAATAATATTCCACCGACCTTAGAAGGAAGCTCAAAACATGAACAAATATGTTATTGTGTAGACTATTTGTTTCCTCCTGTGTATCTGATGGTTATATCTCTTTAATGTGTAGATGTTTGTGCATTTTAGCTAAATCAGCAGTTAACATGTTATTGTTTTTATAAATGTCTTGAGAAACATTCACGATAATAAAATGTAGCTTCACAACAGTGTAACAAGCAAAACTTCAAAATATCATAGCTTACCTGAAATAAGATGAAGATCAATGCAAGTTCATACACAATACTGACACAGAAAACAAATCTCCAGAGTGCTGGAAACATACAAAAAAAAAAACGTTTTAAGTAGATTTGATTCACACAGAAACACACACACACACACACATATGTATATGTAAACTACCATGTTATTGCTGTTCATGGTAATTAGACCACAAACTTTTCCAATTATCTTTTAATTGTTTTGTGTAGCGTACATGGGGATAAAACGTTTATGTATGAAAAGGATATTTTTACCAACAATTATTAAACATATTAAATGGAACAACAGAAAACAGTAACAACTGGAAATCCTAATTTCAATTATTTCATTATTTTCATGATCAACTGATTTAATTGTAATTTTGATTAATGAATGTAACTAATTTCAACTGATTAATTATTTAACACTAATGGATGTAATTATTGCCCATAGGAATCGATTAAATTGCCCAGCTGTAGCCATAACTGAATTCTCTAAAACTAACGAGTCATCAACTGTATATATATAAAAGGGCTACTGTGACAAATAACTAAGTGAACCTTGAGTTGCAAATGGTTGTGTACATATTTCACAGAACAAATAAAGAAAGTAAACATGTACTAATTGTTGTGGTTTGACAACTTTTTTTTTTCTTCTTAAGCTGATGAAGCATAATTTTGTTCAGTTACATCTATCACAAAACAATAGTGTATATGTTTGTTTTATCCTGCAAACCCGATGAGCTCTGGTATTGAGCAAAATGTGTTGTTGGCAATGCATATGGTGGACACAGTGTGGTTGAAATACTATTATACACTTTTCTTCTTGGTAAAATCTTAAGAGACTGAATGCTGAAAAACATAATAAGCCTAATACCGTTGTCTTATAATAGATTATAAATGTTTACTATACGTAATGTTTGGAGAAGATACCTGGATGAGGTCTTCGAAAAGGTCCATCAGGAATCTGGGTGACACCCAACAACAAGAACACTAACACGCAAGCAATAAGGCCCCTGTAGAAAGTGTTATCAGTTAGAAGGACTTTGTAGATACATATTCAAAATGGTTAAACTGGAAAAACATTACAAACAAAATAAAAATAATTCAAACTAAAAGGTAGTAAGTAAAAGTTCTTATGTTATTCGTTTAGCATGTTATCATTGCCTTTTTTCCTTAATTATCTAGCAAAATAATTATGATAATTTGGCTCAATCAATTTAAAAAAATATATATACGTATGCTGTAAATTTTACTATACCGTACGTGAAGTCCATAATAACACATAGCTGTGTATGTGTGTGTGTGTGTGTTTCATGCAAATACACAACAGGCATCATATTAACATGCTCATTAATAAGTTATGGTACATTTGGTTGCTAAGGAGAAGCCACACATAAAGTACATTACTATAATTCATAGTTACTGTATAACTTTCTACTGCTTCTGAACAGGTGAAACTAAAAAAAAAACAATTGTAATATTTACACATGCATTTGTCATAACTAGCAAAATAGCATACTCTAGAGTAATATGTAACTGCCTATTTTGGTACCTTATTTAAATAATAAGTTTGTTACATTGCAGTCTTGACTAACAGTAATAGTAAGAAAACTTCCTGTCCTTGAAAAGAACACGTTGTATTCACTTATCATACCAAACTTTTTATTCATTCAGAAAATACTTACTTAGTTTTTAGTTTAAGTCCATAAAAATCTAAAGGCTTTGTACTTTCTGCTTTACCTTTAGAAACTACACCCAAAGATTAGAAACAAAGGTTAAAAGATCTGTACAAGAGAGATTAATTCCATATTTCTGTCAGATTTGGTTTTCACCATCCATTTGATCATATTTTAAAATATCTCTAGTTTTTTCATTATGGAATTTTGCTTATATTAAAAAAACAAACATACATGTATCTTTACACTGAAAGTCAAGCACAAGGAGAATATTGTACAGGTTTCATTTGTTATAAATATTTTCTATTAAATACTTCAAGTT